CAGCAGCATGAAACAGATCAGCAGCAGCATGAAACAGATCAGCAGCAACATGAAACAGATCAGCAGCAACATGAAACAGATCAGCAGCAGCATGAAACAGATCAGCAGAAGCATGAAACAGATCAGCAGAAGCATGAAACAGATCAGCAGCAACATGAAACAGATCAGCAGAAGCATGAAACAGATCAGCAGAAGCATGAAACAGATCAGCAGAAGCATGAAACAGATCAGCAGCAACATGATGTGATTTTTCACAGTGATTCTCCTGGTTAGAGATTCATGAGTCTAACAGCCTCAGGGTAGAAGCTGTCTGTACAAGTCTAATGAATCCAGGTTATCTAGTATAACTGACAGTAACTAGGTAAACTCTCCTTCACCAGTTTCAATAACTCATTACCTTAGTTATTTAGTTTTAACCAATTATCAACTTTCACTAACCCATTTAATTGTCCAACACTAGGTTTTGATGGTTAAACAGCTTTATTTCCATGGGAGCAGTTTAAGTCAGATCACTCTTGTAAATGAGACTTCCTGTCTAAATTAAAGTAAAATTCTATACCATTTAACTTTTGTTGACTACCCTTAATCATTTTCATTACCAAGCTTAAATAAGCCTTGTTAACAAGGTTACCACTTGTTCACTAGTTAGAATAACTCCCTTTGAAAAAATGTATCAAACACTTTAACAAGTTTATCTCTAACTACTTTATAAACTCCCATTAACCAATTTAAATAGTTGTTTTCCAGTTTCCTTCCCATTAACCAGTTATCTCTTATTAGCATGTTTAATGAACAATTTTACAAGTTTAACAAACACTTGTTAATGCTGGTTTACTAATTTACTTCTCTTTCTAAGTGGTTTAATGAACTCCCATTAACTAGTTTAGTTAAATTGTTAACTAGTCAAGTCAAGTCAAGTCATCTTTATTTGTAGAGCACAATTTAAAACAGATAAACTGTTATCAAAGTGCTTAACAGAAATGTAGCAAAACATAGGCAGCAAAACAAAAACATCATACAGAATTAAAATTACTGGAGCAATAACACACACTAATGATCACACTAAGGAAAAACAAGCAGTAAAAATAAACGTCAATCATAAAACAACAGAATTTAAAATGAGGTACACAGAACAAAATAAACTAACTCACACCGTATTAAACGCCAGAGCAAACAGGTGCGTTTTAAGGAGGGATTTGAACATCAGGAGGGAGGAGGCCTGCCTGATGTTGAGGGGCAGGTTGTTCAACTAGGTCGAGTAATGTTTATTAAACAGTTGATTGACTTCTTATTAAGCAGTTTAACTCTCATTATCAAGTTAAAATTTTTGACTAGTTTACATAGTTCTTATAAACTCAATTATATTATTTTTCAGCCAACTAGTTCACTTAATTCAATTTCTATTCAGTTTATTTACAGTATATTGCATCAAATCACAACAGAAGTATAAAATTATTAACTTAACTATCCAACCAGTTGAATGAACTCTTATAACTAGTTCAGTTCTCTTTTCTTCCTCTTTCTTTCGGCTGCTCCTTCTTCAGAGGTCACCACAGAGAACTAACTCACACCAAGATTTGGCGATTGTTTTTATGCCGATGTTCTTCCTGACACAACCACAGACACCGATGTAACCCGGGTATAGATTTTAAATTTCTATTCTGTCATTTCACTTTTAAGCCCCCTTCTGTTTTGAAAATCCCGCGATAGTTAAAACTGTTGACGTATTAGCATCTATTCTCGCGGGACCACTGAGCAGCCAATCGCTGTTCAGTGTTAATCATGTGCGGCCCCGTAGCCAATTTGGGAGAGTATATCAGCTGGAGCAGGAAGGTAGGGACTATCAGAACATGCCGGGAGGAACGGAGCTGTAAGGAGCCACTTACCTTTTGTGGACAAAAGAGGAAATTATGTGAGGATCTGGATTTCACTGCGGATCTGGTGAGGTTCTGTGTGCTATTTTTAGCGTTAGCTTATTGCTAATGTTAAGCGGTTGTTGTGTAGCGATGAAATGACTCACTGTTACGTAGACTTAGACAATCATACTGCCTTATAAGTCTGAATTCAAGACTTATAAGGTGCTTTAAGTATTTATTGGATACTTGGATTTTGTTTTATTCGTGTTAATTACATGATGTATGTTTATTGAATTCTCATGAAATGTAAAGTATATTGAACCTGGTATTTATTTAGTGAAAATGATTGGAAATATTTATTGTGCAAAGAGTGCTAATTATTGAAGTTGTGTGCACACTAGAATGTTTGAATATATATTTATTGAGAAAATGGTCCTGTTTTATTACGCAGGCCAGGTTGATGGCGAGCTGGAAGTCCAGGCCTTGAGCCTAAAGATTGGATTGCACTTGTAGTGCCTGAAGATTGCTGTTTCTCCTGCCAGGCTGGTAGGAGGCTCCTTGCAGCCAACTGAACAATTTTGTTCCTACTTCAATAGGACGTTTGTGAGCCCCGGACCTGCACTGAACCAAGAGTTTTGAATAACTTGCTTGGGAGCTGAAACAACCTCAGCTCTGGGTGAAAGAACTGAGGGGTGTGGGTTTGTGGGATTGTTTTTCCCTTTTTCTTTGTTGGTTGTTTTCTTTTTCATATTTTATATGGCCATATGTTTATTTCACTGATATTGTAAATTTGTATATATTTTTCCCTCACTCTAAATATAAATCACCTGCAACTTCTAGTCTGTCTGCTCCTTCATGAGTCGTACCTTATCTTCTGAGAAACTAGCCCATTTGACATTTTTTATGCTTTAAACTATTTACATTGATATATTGCAGCATAGTTTTCTTATAAATATGCTACACCGAGGTGCCACAGCCTCTGTGTGGAGCAGAGAGCTGCATCCAGGGTGCCCAGGGGAACAAGTGGGGGGAGTTAAAGCCTTGCTCAAGGGCCCAGAGTGAGGCCAAAGAGGGTGGAGGCAGGTGTTGGTGCTTCACTTTTCCCACCCACATTTTTGATGTTATCAGCCCAGAGAGTAAAACCAGCAACCTTCCAATCACAGGCTCACCTTCTCTAACCTCTGTGCCACTAGTGTCAATAACTAGATGAACGAATTCTTATTAATTATTTTAATTAAATGTCTTTAACAAGGATATTGAACCATTTTCTAACTAATTAAATGGACACACATTAATCAGTTCAACTGCCCTCTGTTCAGCATCACATTTCATGGACCTACCACTCCACCAATCACCAGCACAGTGATGGATGCCCTTGAAGTGAAAGAGACCAGATGTGTTGCTATGGAAACCACCATCTCATCCTTGAAGGTGGATTTGTCCTGAGGAGACAGAAGCATCTCTTTATCTGATCTGAATACAGCTGATAGTTTGAACTGAAAATTTACTCACTTTAAGTCCGTGCTTGCCGCTCAGCGCCCGGTGGGCGTTAGTGACTCCAATGAAGCGGGTCACGAGGGCGGTCCAGCCCAGAGAAAACTGGAAGTCAATGTTCTCCTTGAAGTCTGCACAGACAGTGTTGAGGCTAAGGTCATAGGTCATCTCAAAGGATGAAGAGGGAGAGAGCTGCTGCTGGACGGACAAAGACAGGAGAGGACGGACACTGTCTATGGACAGAGAGACAAAGTCCATCGGTACCAATTTGAGAGGTTCTAATTTTGGTACAGATGGAGAAAAAGAACCAAACTCAAACCAGTTGGTACCAATCATGTGCCTCTGGACCTCGCTGACATCTTGGAGGATGCTGATGGAGCAGCAGTGAGTCAAACAGCTGACCAGTCTTTCCTCCACGTGTTGCACAAGTTTCTGTAAGAACGCAGGTGAGCTGAGATAGAAGGATCTGCAGGTTCTCTTACAGCAGAGGACGGGCAATTCCATCAGGAAAAAGGTTTGAAATATTTAGAAACACAGTTTTAGGTTTGCATCATCATCAAAGTAAAAGCTGCTGTCTGGTCACATATCAGCAGATATGAACCAAATTTATTTGCATTCTAAGGATTTCATCAAAATCAAAAGTCTTAACAAGGAAAAAAAAATTCCTGGCAGGAACTGTCAAACATTTGGTGCCCCATGTGGGTCCAAGCGAGTTACTGATCAGTTCTTTAGGACAAACTCACATCAGATTTCATAATCTGCTCCATTATTGATCAATTTTTCCATTAGTGTGTGAATTTGAGTCTCACCATTTTGTAGAGCTCCAGAGTCTCTGAAGTTGGATCAAAGTCGGCTTTAAATTCCTCTACCAGAACTGTGAGGGAGTGAATCTGATCCGACAGCACAGAAGTCACCTAACCACAGAGAGGACTGTCTGCCATTACTATGGAAACATGGAAACTTCCATTTCAACTACCTTTACTCTAAACTGCAGTGAGTTTTGATTCTGTAGAGAAAGACCTCCTCAGGTTCTAGACTAAATAAGTCATATACCTGATGTTTGGATTCAGGTGGTTCCTATATTTGTGTCATGACCAGGCTTTGGATTGAAATAAGCCAGACAGATGAGTTACAAAAGAACAGAGTCAGGATCAATTCAATTCAGTTTATTTATAAAGCACCAAATCACAACAAAGTTGTCTCAGGGCACTTTACAGGAACATTCACATAAACGCTAATTAGTAAAGTTCTCTATCTAAGTCCAACATTTTTCAGTCAGGTCATCTGGACAGTTTCTTTTTTTGTGCTGAAACGTTTCGCCTTCCATCCAGAAGGTTTCATCAGTCAAGGAAACACAACAAAACTGATTCTTCCTCCAACAGCTTACTCCAAAGTGGAACAAACCAGTTCTGCTTGTGATAAGATGGTCTCTTTGGTACGCCCCTCCTCCATTGCCAGCCCTCTTCCTTGTTGACAGTCTTGTCAAACTGGTTGAAAACAACAAAGTTTCCTTGACTGATGAAGCCTTCCGGATAGAAGACGAAACGTTTCAGCACAAAAAAAGAAACTGTCCAGATGACCTGACTGAAAAATGTTGGATTTTATACCTGGATTATTGAGCATGGACTTTGTTGTTCTCTATCTAAGGAAATCAGCTGTTGCCAGGTCCTCACAGGCTGGAGGGAGAGTCACCTGTCAGAGTGGCAGCAATGACGTCACTGGTGGAGCAGCTGTGGAGCAAAACTGGTGCTGTACATGGTCCGTGGGGGGCAAATCCAAAAACGAGGTCTGGTTGTCCAAGCAAGTGTTATGAACAGGAAGGCAGAGAGTAGAAACCAAAGCCAAGTCATGATCCGTGAAGCGTAGTCATGATAATCAGAAACAGGGTCAGTACCATGGGCAGAAAGCAGAGTCCAAAACCAGACGAGGAGTAGGCAAAAACAGGGAATCCAAAAGGCAAGTTGCGAGGTCAAAAATCCAGAGAACAAGGCATAAACGTCAGGCGTGAACAGGAACAAGAATGACTTGATATCAGGGACCATGAGAGGTATCATCATATGGCAGAGACGGAGAGTGAGCCTGGAGCTTAAATAGAGAGCTGTACATGTGCAAGGAATGAAGCTGAGTGCTGCAGGGGCGTGGTGAACGGTTGACTGACAGGAGCTGATGAGGGAAGGTGATAAGCAAAACACAGAGAGAAACAGAAACAATGGCATGAGGGGCAGAAACTATGGCAGGTGGCATGAGAAAGAGAACAGAGCATGAATGCAGGATTATGGCAGGATGGGCAGAAACATGGCATGAGGGGTAGAGGCGTGAGCAGATGAGGGGTCATTGGGGTCGCTGACCATTACAATTTGAGTTTATAAACTTGGTAAGTGCTGTACCTGAGGAGTCTGTCTTTACAGAAGCAGTCCTACTCTGGTTCTGAACAGCTTGAGTCCTGAACCTGAGGTTTTGACAAGCGTGAATGTTGTACCTGAGGGAGTCGGTCCTCCTCAGGAGGCTGTGCATATGTGCATACCTTAGCAGTGACATCATCAGTGAGAGTTCTGATCCTATCTTTGATGCTGTCGCTCAGATGGTTCATCTGTCCTCGGACAAAGTCCAGTCGGTCTCGCTGCTCCTCACGCTCCTCCAGGCAGCAGATCCTGTTAGAGAGTCAAAGGTCAGAAGTCAGGTTGACAGGACTTAGAGGACAGAGTGGGTTTGTTTCGACTCACTTCCTGTCTGCTGAGGCGATGTTGACGGTGTCCATGATGGCTTTGATGGTCTCAGTGATCTGCCACGCCCTCACTGTGTGCTGCTCAAACTTGGTCCGGATCGCCGACTGAGAGATGAACTCCTGCAGAACAGAGGCCCAGCTCATCCGGGTCAGAACTCTTCAGAAACACATTGAGACCAAACTCTGGACTCTGAGGTCTGAGCAGAGTTCTGGCTCAGCTCATCAGAAACTTCAAACTCATTTTATGTTTTTGTGGTTTTCTACCTCAAATGTCCTCTCAAACCTCTGGAACTCAGCCAGCCTCTCATGGAACCCTTCAGCCAGAGCACCACCTGCAGAAGTTTCAGGTTCAGTACAATCAGGTCCAAGACTGCAGAGACTTTTAGTTTTCACAGGAAAAAAAACCTCCTGATCCAGTCCTTTTTATATTTTTAAATCATCTCTAACCCAGAACTCCTGATCCAGTCCAATTTGGAACTCCTGGTTCAGTCTCCAGTTTTACAGATTGTCCCTTCAATGGTCCAGACTTCCTGTATTCTGTTACAGTGATTCTGAATCAACAGTTCTCCAGACCTTCTGAAGGTCTTTCTTTGGACTTTGGTTGATTTTCTCTTTGTTTGTCCTCAGACCTGACCTGTTAGATGATTGGCTTTGGTTTCAAACCCTCAATGTTGTCCTATAAAGAACCAAACCCAAATCTGGTTCTGGTTTGTTGACAGTGAGAGACTACATCCATGGATAAAGTTGTATCGTGGTTCTGGCTGCTTCATTTTCCAGCCCCACAACACCCAGTGGACCCCTGTCATTCCTTGATCAGCCACTCCAGGACCAAACCTCAGCATCATCAAAGTTCTGTGGTGTTAGAACTGAAGACCTGAAGACGTTTGAAAGATGTTCTTCACAAAGGCTGGAGGCTTTGAGGGTTGTTTCCACCAGACAAACCTCAGAAGCGTTCTGCTGATTTTCTTTGATATCAGGTAAGAAAAGAATTTCTGCTTCAGTCTTTTCCTCCTGAGTCAATGTTGAACGTTATTTCCTGTCAGTTTCTCCTGGACTTCTCTCTGCTGACGACTGACCCTCACCTGTCTCACCTGTCTCAGGCATGCCCTGCGCTCGCTGCATCCTGGAGGTCAGAACCTCTTTGGCTGAGATGAAGAATATCCTGCCCTCTGCCTCATCTGGCCCGACCACTCTCAGCTCCTCAGACAGGAAGCTTACGCAGCGGTCCAGGTGCTGCTTCCTCACCTAGATGGCAGGGGGATGATTTGTTACAGGTCCCTGGACACTCAGGTCTGTGATCTGAGGGGCCTACCACAGTAACTTCTGGGCTCACCTGGAGGATGTAGTCCGGCTCCGTCACCGAGGCATCCCAGCGGTTGTGTAGGATGAAGATGTTGGGTTTGGAGATTCGCTCACTGACTTTGTGAAAGAAAAGTTTCTCCTGCAGAATCAAACAAATGAGACCGGTCTAAAGTCCTGGTGGCTCAGTTCCTCGCATCCTGATCCTGAAACTGTCCCGTCCTGTTTACATTTCTCTGTTCTCTTGAACACGTTTAGTCATATCTAAACTGACGCTTTCCCTTCAGGAGACAAACAAACAAACAATGAAGGCAGAAAATTACCTGAATGTTTCCTCACCGTATTCATCAGTGTTGACTCAGCGTTCCCAACCAGAACAAAGACGTCTGCGTCCAAACAGAACTTATCGATCCAACTGTCCAACTCCAGGGTGACGTCCGTGCCTGGGCTGCTCACAGGTCAGGGGGCACAGGCCAGGGGTCAGTAGTCAAAGGGAGAGAAGACAGAATGATACGTCATCCTCCGAGTTATTTAAATGTTTTATCAAAGTAAGAACCCAAAACGTGAAGGGAAAATAAATCACACCTCCTGCAGCCCAGGTCAGAGGTCACAGAAGGTCAGAAACCACAGGTCAGATGTCACACAATTCTATGTTGACCTCAGGCAGGAGGTACCGCAGCCTGAGGACTAGATCCACCAGGTTCTGCAACAGTTTCATCCCACAAGTTATCAGACTGCTGAACAACGGTGTACCACAAGGCTCAGTCTTAGGACCCACCCTCTTCAAAATCTACATAGATAATGTAGGTCAGAGCATCCCTGATGCATCCTTACATTTCTACGCTGACGACACAGTTGTTTATTGTCAAGCTAAAACAGTTGCTAAAGTTTTCCAGCTTTTGCAGTCTGCATTTGACATCATCCAGTCAGACTTGTTCCATCATCTACATATGCTTTTATACGATTGTCTCTTGTCTGTATTTCATCTGTATTCTTTGTTAAATCAGGTCTCTCTTGTAAATGAGTCATCGAGGCTCAATGAGACAACCTGTAGAAATAAAGGTTGAATGAATGTCTTGGTGTTTATAGGAACATTCACTAACATCTGAACTTGTATCCGCAGCAGAACTGCATCTTCTGCTCTAAACACCAAAATCTATAAAATTCATGTATTATGAACTCCTGCACTGCTGTGCAGAAAAGAAACTAAATGTGGTTCAGTGTTACCTGGCGCTCTGTACAACTTTGAACAAACTTTATAAAGTTACATCAGAGACCACAGTGTGGTTGTAAAATCAAACCTGCTTCAACCCGGTCTACCTGTCCATGAGCACCAGCTCGTTTCTCAGCAGAGCGCAGCGACTCTTAGGCCAGAACACTTGGACCAGACTCCCAGAGTCCAGTGTCGGGTCCATGTGGAGTGCGTGAGCCAGCTGGTTCACCGTCTGGAGAGGAAGTGTAGTTAGAGCTCAGTGGAGCCACACGTGCACAGAACATGTCAGATAGTTGCTGGCCTACAGACACGCTCCGCCTCTCGTTGGACAGCTCGGTGGTCAGGTACGCCTCATCGCCCTCCGTTCCCTCCACACTCAGAAAGCAGTTGGTGGTGTGGCCGATGCCGCTGGGCAGAACCCGGTCTCTGAGCATGGCATTGATCACGGTGCTTTTGCCGTTGCTGGTCCTGGTAATGGACGGACAGAGGACATGTCCACACAGTTAAATTAGTCAAGCCTGATTTACATCTTCATTTCATTTTCAAATGGTCTGGATCTCAGCGTGACCTCAGCAGAAGTAAGGAGTACCTTCAGGAGGATTAATCCGCACAAAGCAACTGGCCCAGACAACATCCCCGGAAAAGTGTTGAAGGAATGTGCTGAGTAGCTCTGTGAGGTGCTGGCAGACATCTTTAACACCTCACTTACCCTGGAGACAGTTCCCCCTGCCTGAAGACTGCCACCATCATCCCAGTCCCAAAAAGCTCTACAGTGACTGGTCTGAATGACTATCAGCCAGTGGCCCTCACCCCGATAGTCGCTAAATGCTTCGAAAAACTGGTCATGACTCACATCAAAACAACCATCAACATCAACGAGGACCCTCATCAGTACGCATACCGTGAGAACCGATCAACAGAGGATGCAATCTCCTCTGTGGTCCACACTGCACTCAACCACCTGGAGCAGAAAAACTCTTACGTCCGTATGCTCTTTGTGGACTTCACATCCGCCTTCAACACCATGATCCCCCAAACCCTGATGGACAAACTATCCACACTAGGACTAAGCCCCTCCATCTGCAACTGGGTACTAGACTTTTTAACAAACAGACCACAGTTAGTGAGGATCCACAACCTCTCCTCCTCCACCATAACCCTCAGCACTGGCTCTCCTCAGGGATGTGTGTTGAGCCCCCTCCTGTTTACTCTGCTCACATATGATTGTGCAGCTACCCATCCAGGCTGTCACATTGTAAAGTTTGCAGATGATACAGCGGTGGTGGGATGCATCACAAACAATGATGAGTCCAGCTACAGGCAGGAGGTGGAACACCTGGAGAGCTGGTGCAGAGAGAATAACCTTCACATCAATGTGAAGAAGACAAAGGAGATGATTGTGGACTTCAGAAGGAACAAAAACATCTACACCCCCCTGAACATAAGAGGATCTGCGGTGGAAGTGGTCTCCAGCTACAAGAACTTGGGTGTACACATGAACAACAACCTCAGCTGGAGCAACAACACCACCAGCCTGATGAAGAAAGATCATCAGAGACTCTACTTCCTCAGGCGACTGAGGCGAGCTGGTCTGGAAGCTCAGTCCTCACCTCCTTCTACAGGTGTGCAGTGGAGAGCATCCTGTGCTCCAGCATCAACGTGTGGCATGGAGGCTGCACAGCTGCAGAAAGAAAAGCTTTGCAGAGAGTGGTGAAGGCTGCACAGAAGATGTTGGAGTCAGTCTCCCCACCATCACAGACATCTACACCTCCAGATGCAGGAAGAGGGCCACCTGCATCATGAAGGACCCCACTCACCCAGCATACACACTTTTTGCCCCACTCCCCTCAGGAAGGAGGTTGAGGAGCATTAAGTGTAGAACCACTAGACTGAGGAACAGCTTCTACCCTGAGGCTGTTAGACTCATGAATCTCTAACCAGAATAATCACATCATGTTGCTGCTGATCTGTTTCATGTTGCTGCTGATCTGTTTCAATGTTGCTGCTGATCAGTTTCATGTTGCTGCTGATCTGTTTCATGTTGCTGCTGATCTGTTTCAATGTTGATGTGTTCATGCGTGCACATCTGCTCACAGACTCATGTTCATGTTTGTGGTGATGTTCAATGTTTTATGTTATGAGTGCTTAGTGTATATTTAGTTGATGTTTTTCTTAGTTCATATCTTAGATGTTATTACTGTTTTTATTATACATTTTATTGTTGGATGTAACTGGGACCTTGTGTACATAATTTCGCTCCACCACATGTACCACATGAGGTGCGAATGACAATAAAGAAACTCTGACTCTGATTAACAGTTCTCCAGACCCTCTGTAATCTTCTAAAGTGGTCTGGATAAAGTTTCCTCTCCATCTGGGAATAAATAACAAGACACTGAAGGTAAAGAGTCGGACCAGTTTCAGGGATGGACCTGGTCCAGATTCTCACACCAGCATGCTCGGAGGAAACATCTGACTTCCTGTCCCTCTCACCTGCCGAAGAAGGCCACCTTCATGTGTCTCCTGAGCAGAACCTCCCTGATGGTGGACAGTGTGGACGCACAGCGCTGCAGCTCCAGACTCTGCTCCTCTAGGGCCTCGGGACCCAGGTCTGGGCTCCGCCACACCTCTGACATCACAGCAAACACACAAACAAATAAATAAAACAGAAAACAAACAAACACGCAAACAAATAAATAAAACAAACACATAAACAGGCAAACAAACAGACAAACAAACTGACAGACAAACAAACAGACAAACAAACTGACAGACAAACAAACAAACAGACAAAAACACAAATAAATAAAAGAAACACATAAACACACAAACAAACAAACAAGCAGACAAGTCTTGGACAAGTCAGACAGACAAACAAACAAACAGACAGACAAACAATCAGACACACAAACAAACAGACACACAAACACAAATAAATAAAACAAACACATAAACACACAAACAAATAGACAAACAAACAAACAAGCAGACAATTCTTGGACAAGTCAGACAGACACACAAACAAACAAACAGACAGACACACAAACAAACAAACAAACAGACACACAAACAAACAAAAACACACAAAAAAACAATAAACAATTACACAACAATACAGACACACAAAGGAAGACATAGAAAAAAACAAATGAAATCTGCAGAACACCAGGTGGAACCAGACCATGGAGAATATGGACCAGGGTTCTGGACCGGTGTCTGGACCAGAACCTACAGCTCTGTTTTTTTCTGAGTGGTTCTGACCGTCCATGAAGGCTGACCCGTCCTTCACGAAGGCCAGCAGCTGATCCAAGATGGAGTTGATGGATCGCTTCGCCACAACGAAACGCTGCAGAGGGGACGGGGCCTCAGGATCCATCACACCTTCAGTTCTGGACCACAGCCAGAGTCCAAACCTCACAGGTCCTGTCCAAGAGTCCTGATCTGCACCAGAACTGTCTTTGTGACAGGTAACAGAGCCTGGATGGAAACCAGACCAGAACTTGTGTCTCTCCAGCTCAGAGGGCAGTCGTGCTTCAAGAGGCTGCCGGCTCCCAGCATGCTTCACTTCCAGACAACAGCTGATCCTCTTATCAGGACTTAGTCCTGCAGCCACCTGTCAGATGCTGGAGTTCAGCTCAGGGGGGTCAGATGTCCTCAGAGAAAACTGTCTACTGGGTTCCCCCCACAGAACAAAAACCTCCATATTAGGTTCAGAAACTTTAAATTGTCCCCCGGGGTGAGAGACGGAATGTTGTCTGTCTTGTTTGTCTGTATATGTCCATGTGATGGACTGAGACTTGTCCAGGTGTCCCTTGATGGACTGAGACTTGGCCATGTGTCCCCCGCCTGTCATGCAGTGACTGCTGGACATGGACATCACCTGGAAAAGAAAGAGCGGGAAAAATAACGGATGGATGTTTAGATTGGGCAGGGTCAAAGGTCACAGGTTTTGGCTTCTGGATCAGTCTGGGGTCAGGGTTCAGTATCGGAGTCTGGGGTCAGGGTTCAGACAGATCTACACAGGGCCAGCAGGTTCTGATTTCTGGTTCTGACTGGGTCTCAGACTCTCTGAGCTCCATGATCAATCAATCAATCAACCTTTATTTATACAGGTAAATCCCATTGAGCCTCGAGGACTCTTTTACAAGAGAGACCTGATTTCAACAAAGAATGATGACAACAATGGACAACAGCAACAACAATAAACAGTTATAAAAAAGCATACTAGTTTTTTTATTTTTTATTTTTTTTATTTTTTATAACAAATAGGATGGCTAAAAGGAAAAGGTAACAAAACAAAAAACAGCTAGATTCCAAGACAAATGTAGAAAACTAACAACAGGAACATGTCTGCATTGGACCCTGACCAAGCTGGTTCTGAAAAACGAGAACACATGGACCAAAAAGACACCGTCCCCTGCTGGTCAGCTCTGTGCCCCCTCTGGCTCTGCTCAGTTACTGGTTCGACTCCTGATCCTAAAAAATCTGCAGGTCCAGATGAACTTCCACCTTATTTCTTAAGGCTGGCTGCTCATATCATCACAGTCCCTGTGACCCACATCTTCAATCTCTCCATGAGACAAAACTCCATCCAGACACTTGAAAACAGCCTTTGTTCTTCTTTGCTGAAGGGAGG